ACTATAATCTATCTTCATACTTTTTTTAATAAATACCAATCGTTACTTTGTCCATGAAAGAGTAACAAACATCCTTCCATAATTATTTGCAACCTTTTTTGAAACGCGTTTATCATAATACTAGCTACTTTCGCGAGGTTTCACTCGCTGCTCGGCTTTATTTAATCGTAGCGTGATGTTTTATAGCATATAGCACTCAGGAACATTGTAGCTACCTATCAGTGAAAGAATTTTGGCAATCCGACCATCGGTTCCAAAGATTACCCCCTACATACAAACTTACAAACTTAGATAACTTAATAGGATAAATATTTAGCATGTCTTAAACCTTTACTAAACTACCGAACATTGAACTTTAACAAATGAAAATGATATTGAATATGTTGATAAATAAGACATTAGTATTAAATTCGAGCGGCAGGCCCCTTATTCGTACTAGTATAAAATTTTACTTCAGTTTAAATCCCTTTTAGAATGTAGGTCATGTAGGTAGGTACAGTCAGCTAACCTCCAAGGTAGCGAAAATGGTACAACTTCCTGATTTTGTCCCTCTACTTTTCTAATAATTTCTTTTGTACCATATTTCTCCTGGCCTTACAAGCACAACATGAAAATAAGGGTTGAAGGGTTGCGGATCAAGCGCAATAATAAACCGCGGCCGCAGACTGGAGAAGGAAAGATGGGGAGGGGGGGGGGGGTTAGACAATACGAGTTGGATATTTCCTCTCACCTAATTATTATATGATTTTTTTTCCGACTACGGCAAAGCAAATCTCAAATCTGGTATGTTCACCTGTTCCCTCGTAGCTTCTAAACTACTTATCAGAATTCGACAAATGACATATCATTAGAAACGTCTTAATTGTCCGCTGGTTATAGGCTATATGGGGTATCACAAAATCTAATATGGCGTCCTCTAGCGGACAAAACATTCAGAGTAAAAAATAAAGTTAAGATAAATGCCGTGTTTAGTATCATTTGAAAGCGCTTTTCTTGTACATTTTATTTCCTAAGTAAATCGGGAAAACCTCAGCTAAGGTAGCACACAGGTGCCATCTTATTAATTAATGTATTTCTCTGAATTGTTTACGTTTACAATTAATAAATTTAATTAATAATGGAATCTTTATATATGACTACTGAGAATTACACATAAATACCTGTGTAATAAATAACGTATATATGTTACTTTAGTGGGTACTTTATTACTATAATTTCCCCAAGAAAATAAGCAGACGGCACATTGCTATATTAAAAACTTTTTTAAGATAAATTTGTAGATATGGTATTTTTTCAACGCCACATCCACTGAAAGGGCTACAGTAAGTCTTGTAAGCCAGGACCTATTGAAGATAAAACCACGAAAAAACTAAAAAACGGAAATAATGTTACCTATTTACTAACTTTTGCTTCAATCATCAAGAAAATAATACTGTAGTACAATAATAGGTAGTTATATCTATATACCTTATACCTTAATCTGAACAACAACCTAGAGGTGGACAAAGATATCCTCAAAATATTTGGTGACTTAAAATTTATTTTATTAAGGCAAACTTTACCTCGCAGGCTTAAGATTCATAAATTCTATTTCCTCAATAAATTAAAACTTTATATTATTTCCTCCTTTTTATTAGGCAGGTACTACAATAAATATACATAAAAAATTCACATAAATTACAAATCGAACAAATTCAAATAACTACATTACGACGTAGCTCATCGATTTTACTACTTTTTTTTGAGTCCGCATAACTGTAGAAAGAAACCAGTTGACATTTTGGCACGTGCAATTTTAATGGCGCCGGACAGAATAAAACAAAACTTTCACTATATATCTGGCCATAAAAGTGACAGTGCATTAAGAAGAGTATATCTTACGTAATTATGATTAATCAGCAAAAAAGTGGAATTGAAAAATGGCTACATTCCAATAATTACACAGAAATATATCTATGAATAATTACATAACTGCAATTCACTTTCTTTATAGCAAAACGGATCCTTCATAGAATTACGTTCATAAATTAAATAAAACACCGTTACTCCACTACCGGTATTATGGGACATTAGTTATTGAAAATCACACCACACAAAATAATAATTGTCTCATCATAACCTTACTAAATGAATTCCAATTTTAACAATAAATTTCCTCTTCAGTAAAATAAAATTGCTAATAAGTACTAGCTTACAAGACAGCATTACGAAAAAGCGATCTCGTCTCAACTACCTCGTGAATATGTTGAAATATTAATTATAAACTAGCTTCCGCCAGCTGCTTCGCCCGCGTCTGTGTTAATAGCAGCAATAGAACAAAATCATAGTATACAAAAAAATTGTTAACAATCATCTCATTTTTATGGGGACATCTCCAATAGGTAAATACCCGATTACTTACTTAGTATCCGTTATCCGTCCGTCCATAGATAGAATGGTACGGATCTAACTAAAAAGTAAATGTTATACAAATGATTTAGCCTTCAACAGCTTTTGTTGACAATCAAAGAAATAAGAATCTAACACTTGTCACACCCCAACACACAATGCAGGACTAGTCATCGGATGAATTTCCCCAATTAAAAAAAGAGATATTACAAACGTAAATTTCACCATCTAAATAATGAGTTCAGTAGAAAAAGAAAGATATACATAATAATACATACATACGAGTATAGTTAAGATCTCAGTGCCATACCAGAGAGCATGGAAAGTAGATTACACTTGACGATAACCTTCCCACGCGTGTTGGTAAGCCAATAGAAGTGGCTTGAGAATACTTGTCGCGATGAACCAGTAACCCGACGCGCTCCACTTCTTACGAGTCTAAGTATTTAGGTACTTGAATTATGTATTTGCAATGAGCAATATCGACTGTCTATATTTTCATACTCATATGTATACAGGTACATTATCGATAACAGTAACATAATAACAGTTACTCTACGAGTATTTGTCTTAACGCTAATACTAGTTTTAATAACAATTTTCTCCTGTGTCTTCGGTGAGTTTACAAACATACCAGTTCACATACACAATTTAAATCCTAAATTGGTTCAACAATTTGTGCAATAAACCTATGCTGTATAAAGAAATAGGTTATGTATACTCTTACATAGAATTATTGAAATTACTTTTTTCTTTCTTTATCCATCAAACCCCAAGCGAACGCCGACGTTCGCGCACCTATAGTTCTTCTGTTGTGTCTCGAATTAGAGAGCAAGTGATTTGACGGATCAACCAATGGTATCATGTCAAAGGTCAGCGCTATCCAGAGATATCTTGTATATATTCGTTTAAATAAACGATTAATAAAAAACATACCATAAACCATTTAGATACAAACAAAATGATGATGAAGTACTTACTACTGAGGTACTTATACATGACACAAGATATTAAATATTTTTAACCGACTTGATTAATTATTTTATTAACATCTATAACATTATACTTATAACATTATTTAATTAATGCGACAGAAGATTAGCCAGTTAATTAAAGTTCAAGGTTGCGGTACGCGTAAGAATGTAATAAAAAAATATACATAGCTTCTACTTGAGTTGAGAACCTTCGTTTTTGGAAAGTTGGTTATAAGAAAAAGCAGCTTTTTCCAAAGATAACAACCGTATTTAGGCATATTTAATAAGCTTATGTTAAGATACAGCTAATTATTGTATGAAAGATATGAGAGATGGGCCACTATTGTCACCCAGTGGACACGTCAGGACGTAGACCGCAGGCGGGGTAGGTCCCGGAAAAGATGGCGTGACCATCTAGACGCCTATCGTCGAGACTTGTGGACAAGGTCGAAAGATCGGGAGGTGTGGAAGCGAGATGGGGAGGCCTTTGCCCAGCAGTGGGACATTACAGGCTAGTAAAAAAAAATGTATAAACTACTGTTTTATGAATTGTAATAATTGCGTATTACCGTGTCTTGATTCACAGTTTATTATAGCGAACAGGTTATGAAAATTAGTTAATTATAAATAGGTATAATCTTCTGATTGTAATCCGAGGTCAACATTTCTGGCGATTATATTTCGTGAATAATTAATTTATTAAATTAAATATATTTTTGAATGATCATAGTAGTCATTTAACTGTTAAACTGATGATAGGAATTCATAATATAATAATTTTATAATTATATAAATTTATAATTTTTTCTCAGCATTGTGATGTAAACAGTTATTTAATACAAATATTATGACGCAGTTTTTCGTATTATTTAATACCACGTATAAAAAACAGAAAAAAATTAAATCGTAATTTTTTAATCTTGAGTTCGGTCTTGTAGTGTAGCCAATTTATCCGGGGTTGCATGTGGAATAATGTACCGCAGTCCTGTCCCAGAGCAGTAAAAGGAATGGTGTAATTTTTAGTCAGAAACCCCTTATTTAAAAGCAAGATTTATATTTTGCCTAGATGGAGTCCGGTTTTGAATTTTGAACCTCATAATCTTTTTGAATTTACACATAGGTAATTAAATCTTACCTAAATAAACCACAGTACTATATAACAAAACCTTGTTTCGAGTCTAAAACCTAAAACTTTTTGCTCACTTGCAACTCAAATTGCAAAATTCACCTTGTACTACATGATAATTAAAAGAATAAAAATTCAAACTAAAATACGTATTAATTTAGTCTGATTGACCTTTCTAGCTGAATTGCATAATATAAATGCGAAACAAACTTGCAACAGATGCCTCGAATATTTTAAAGTTGACAAAAATACTTCGTTTTTGAAGTTCATTAACTTTAATTGACATTTATTTAATATAACTTCTATTAATCATGTCACAGACTCTATTACTTATAACAACAACGTTGCAACTTGTTAATTAATTATGAGAATAAATCAATGATTAATTAATTAGTCGACAAGAAACAAGACAGAACTAAAGAATGAGAAATCCTTTGATATTATACAGAGTCAAAGATACAGTAGAACTAGGTCTTTTTTTCTTTTACGTTAAAAAGGCAAAGAAAACTCACGTTTCAGCGCTTTTCCTTCAGGCGTGCACCGAACAGCATTAATTAAACAATCCACATAATTCCTAACAAGTCTCTTGTTCGCGAAAATTGCGTCGACGTCCAAATAATCATATCTCTGGTCGTATTTAGGCATGTTAACCATATCATTAACATCTTGTCCCACCACTACATGCACTAAAGCACAAAGGAACAACACTGCACGCATTTTAAATTTATTATTTACGTAAAACTAAAAACTCATTCACATAAGATGGCGGAGGAAAATGGCGCGAATTTGCTTGGCGTGCGCGCGCACCGGCCGGGCGTGTTGTTATGGTCCGCGCGTGCGTACAACCGCTGTTATAAGGTAAAGCTGCGCATACGATCATCTAGATGCTTTCTTGCGAACTTCTGAAAGAAACAGGTTCTGCTCAAGGGTAGGATTCGGATCTTCATTTAGATATTTAATATCTTTTCTAAGGTTTTCAAATTAAGAATATTATTTCGTGAATATCGTTGTTTTTTTTAGCCTTGAAAAAAACAGTAAGTATCAATTTAATAATTGAATATTTTGATTTATTTTCTTATTATAAAACTATTATAATGAACTAAATCAATGATTAGGTATATTACAATGTTCCAAATGTTTGTTTTTATTCGTGTTGACGGTAATATTTCCATAGTACTGAGTAACATGGGATCAACAAGAAGGTCAAAATGATAAAAGTGTATGGGTAAACTCAATCAACGTTAATAAATTCCACGTAATTTAAAAAATAAAAAAAAAAGGTCGACGGTTAATGATTTTATCTTTTTCTCGGTAAAGCTTCACTAAATATAATATTTCTGGAGGAAATGACATTAAGAAAAAAAAAGAAATAAGCAAGCAATAAAAAAGAAAATCACAACTTTATGATTGTTTTATTGGAAATCTGTGCCACTGTCCTCTTTTGAAGAACGTATAATTTCGAGAAACGTTTATTTTATACTTAAATACAACACTTTTACTCATTAAGTATACCGTTAATGTGTTATTTCCTTTATCTTCTGTTTACAAGAAATTGATATTAAATATTTTGGCGAACACGGCAACAATAATGATGTAGAAAAAACAATGCCACCGCCAATTATGAGGTTTGAGATGTTGGTTACAATTTGTAGGTTAACAGTATTTTGTGTCATTCACATGACAAGCCTAAAGAAGGTGCCTCTGCTGAGCAAAGACCTCTTCTCAAGCGAAGAAGTTATGAGCATAAATCATGCATGCTTCAGCAGAAATGAGCAGAAATCATAAGTACAGGTGTCTCCAGGGTGTTGTCCTTCTCGTTTTGTCAGTAATGTCTGAATTACAGAAAAAGTCACGTTGGTACACTTGTCTTGTAGAAGAGTACCAACTTAGTCTTTTTACAGACAGAAGGGAGAAGAATAACGTGAATGTGTGACTAAACACAACTTATATTATGGCTAAGTGTGGGCTATTTCTTAAACAAATGACGAACCCCTTCTAAGCGTAGCGCAGTCTGCTTAATACGCCATTCTTTTTGTACTTATGTTATTACTAGTAAGTGAGCTTAAAAGAGCTCTCAGTCATTTCATATTATACATACTTATAGTAATAATTTAGGAACATGTATATGCTTTCTAGACATATACTGTTCTCATAATAAGTAACCGATACTCTACATTATGTAGCTAAATAATTTTAAAACTAAACTGAACTAAAAGAAAATAAGCCTTCTGCATATAATCTTTCCCTCAATTACTTTCAGTTTATGTAGATATATTTATTTATTTTGCATAAAGTAAGCAGAAATATGTCCGAAACTAAAAAATAATGTTGGTGATAAAAATGGGCGGTGTTATCACATAAGGCGATTTATTCCAGACAACCTTTTGATGGAAATATATAAAAGAAACTTGGGCATGGGTAGTTTAGACACAGGTAAAGCTAGGACATTATAACTGATTACTTCGATAAAACCTCCGCTGGTGGTGTATCGCTAAATAGGAGTTGCGTGTACGCCGCTTGAAAACATTTACTAGGAAGAGCTATTGTGCGCGGCCAGCGGTATGGAACCCACAATACGTATTACCATAAATTAGGCTGAAATTGTTTCGACAGGTTTACACATCATGGAGATTGTCCTATATGATGATAAAAATAGATTTCTTGTGAAATGTTTTAACATTACTGTCGGAAGTTTAATGGTAGTTTGATAATACTATTTCACTTCCAACTTAGAACATTATTTCTCAGAGAGTATGCTAAAGTGTCGGCCTCCGTTCTTACAACAATCTATGATTCAGTCGTACGACAATTTAGATAGCTTCATCTTCAGCAAATCGCAAAACGGGCTTAGCCAAGACATTGGTTGTACCTTTACGCGGATTCTGGAGGTTAAGATGATGGTCACCATATAAAATATTTGGCCAAATCTGTTTGAAACTTAATGACGCTCAACAATTAAGTCAAAATAATTAAGAAAGGTGGAAAGTGAAAGAGGACGAGGACAACTACACTCTGGTTGAACTGGCCAATACTTACAGAAGCAGGGCTTTAGGATTAAAATAGAGGCGTGGTAAATAGGTAGGTGTTTACATAAACTTGCGGACACACTTTTTTATTTCAAATATAATAATATTGAAAGATGAGATAGCCAAACTAAATCCATTTTATTGTTCCAATATCGTAATAAGAATTACGGTAGGTATGACGTTTGGGTTTTCGCAAAATTGTTTTCCTGTTCAATTTACTTCTTGCGTAATTATCTATTTACCTACTTAAATAAAGCACTAAAGTTATTAAGAATTAATATTTTTTCGAAACTTTTTAATTGTTTTAGTAATAGATAAATTTGTATAGGGTTCAGATAGGTCAATAATCAAATAAGTCTTTTCGCCCTCGGCTCCTTCACTCTACGAAATACAACGCAGAAAAAACTGGCGCGAAACAACCATGTTTCGCGCCAGTTTTTTCTAAGTGCTATCACTCAGTTCGAGCTATCCATTCGTACTGAAGCACGGATAACTGGTACCTAGGTACCAGTTCTACCGAAAAAGATAAAAACAAATAAATTGAGTAGGTTTTATAATCATCATCTATGATCAAAAAAGTAAAAATTCGGAAGTACGGAAGTATGCACATGTCATTTCGTCCTTATCGACAGACTGGCGCCAAAACTTTAGCACTTGCTCGTGAATTAAGAATTCCGTTCTTTAGAAAGTCGGTTACATGCCAGTGGACTGGATGTTTACAAAAATATTTATTACGAACTCGTTTTTCATTTGCAGAACTAAAAAATTTTACAATAAATAAACAACTTTTATCTATATTGATAAAAAACTTAATAATTATTATATTGTATAAATCATTGATTGCGGTTGTCTATGCAACTATAAAAAAGTTTGAGAAAAGAGCAGAATTAATGGACACATATAATCTTTACATTAAAGACAACTGGCAATGGTCCACAGATCTTATAAACATATTTATTATGCCATTCACTTCATAACACGCTGTCTAGAATTTTCTACTAGAATGTTACATCGAAAATATCAAGTTCTCAAATAGATTACTTTTAATTTATTTTATTGAATCCTGCCACTATTAATTAAAAGATCTTATTTATGCTGTATTCCAGTGACTAAACGAACAAACAACGTAGATTATTTTTTTGTCAGGGGAAAATCATCTAATGGCCTCTCCCGTCCAGGGTAAGAAAAGAGACAGGTCAGACTCTTAACTGGCTAAAAACCCCCTGTTCCTTCTCCTGTTTTGGTGGTTTCTACGCTTAGCGTGTTATTTATTCCAATCTGAATTTATAGCCAACATTTTATGATCCATCCAAAGAGGAAAAACATAAAAAATAACAAATTCGGATTTCAATCTGCTTCATTTTAAGAAACAAATAATTTTAAATTTCGAATTCGGCAGTCCATATTAGAAGAAATGACTGCCATCTGTTTTTTCAAGTACCTACTACGGGTTTTTTGAACTTTTAAATCATTCTGTATACTAATGTAGTTTTAAGATATGCTTTTTGGAAATGACCTTACCATCTTTTTGGTAATAATGCTCAGTCATGTTCAGAAGTTGACCTGAGGAAAAAATAACAGCAGCATTTCTGTGTATCGCCAGCAATTTTCCATCAAGTGTGCTATTAAGTTTTTAAATGCAAAAGGTGTTTTCTGTAATAAAATATAATTAATTACAGCTTTAGTTTTAGCCGTAACCAAATATCCTTGTAGTTTTATAAGCTGATCTCAAAATACGTTCTAATATCATTGACTGACCTAAAGCATTTTACCTGAAACCTGTTTCAATTTACTGACAAGAATTCAATAAATAAATGTCCAGAACCTTCTAAGGTGTAAACGAACGTACCGTATTTCCCTTGGGTTTAAAAGGAAATATTTATACAAAAAAATACGTTTAATATAATCACGGTACGGTAACAGTTTTTTCTATGCAAATGTTACGGTATTGATCAATCCGTCGTCTTCTAGTAGAATGAAAAATTTCTTATTTTTCATTCTTTATCAACTAGCGACCCGCCCCGGCTTCGCACGAGTGCAATGCTGATACTACATTTGTTAAATATATGTTACTATACATATAAACCTCCCTCTTTAATAACGCCCGGTTTCTGAAAGGCTTGTCAACGCTAAAATTAACAAATCTCCTGTTAAATCTCTCGCCATATCACCTGATTGGTTGTTGATAATTCAGCCAACCAATCAGATGACTTGACAAGAGATTAAATTGATTTTAACATTGATCCGCCTTTCGGAAACCTGGGGTCTATCTAATAAAAAAACCGCATCAAAATCCGTTGGGCAGTTTTAAGGATTTAAGCATACCTATGGTTATAGGAGCATAAAAAGTGATTGTTTTATACTATGGTGTAAATTAAGTACACATAATTATGAAGAAGTGACGTGTAAAAGTGCTGTTTTATGACCTATTTACAACAATAAATTCATCGTTTCATTGTTTGAAAACATTGGTGTTAAAAGCTCAATTTCCTAACCCTTTAAACACAAAAGTGCCTAAAGAAAAAAAGAAAGAAAGTCGCAAACTGTTGCTAAAACATTCAAACAACAGACAAAAGAGTTAGCAAATAAACTTTGTGAAAGGACGAGTCGCCTTTTGTAGATTTTCTTATTTATTTGTCGAGCTTAGAAATTTCGAATTCAATGGGTCAAGGCAATTGCTTATTTGCATAAAAATCCGTTTTTAATAAAACTATTCGAAAAGTCATTGAAACTTTGGATCGAACGCGAAATAAAGAACGATAAATTTTAAATGTTAAAAATGCATTTAAAATAACATACATTTTTAACATATAAAGTTTCACTAAAATTGTTAATACCTACCTCTAACATTCTCTAGTGTGATAGATATGCCGTATACCTATTTTAAT